GAGAGGGAGCTTTTAGGGAGAGTGATCCTGCCTCCCAAAGTTAAATATTTGGCTTTCCAAGAAGCTAATTTTCTTTCCAGCCTTTCAACCACCAGATCCCAAATCAAAGAACTACACTTGGCTCCTAGAGGCAAGCCAATGGTAGGCAGAAAACCAATTTGACAGGCCAGAACCTCAGCTAGAGAATCAAGATCCTCAATCCTGCCCACTGGAATTAGTCTACTCTTAGACCAATTTGCTCTTAGCCCTGTTATCACTTTAAACCAGCTTAGGACCCCTAACAGAATTTCAAGTTGATCTACTTCTGCAACAATGGAGCAAAGGGTGTCATCTGCAAACTGGAGCATCTGAACTTTCTCCCCCCTGGACATGCTTCAAAACCTTTCCACAAACCCAACTCACTTACTTTATTCACAAAGGTAGTTAAAATCTCCATCACACAGATGAACGGAAGAGGGGGAAAGGGGATCCCCTTGTCTAAGGCCACTGGTACTTTTGAAGAATCCTGCTGATTGACCATTCACTAAGACTGAAAATTTTGGAGAGGTAATGCATACTTCATCCAGTTTCTCCATTTCTGACCAAAATTCATGCTCTCCAAAACAAAGCCCAAACATTTCCATTTCACATGGTCGTAGGCTTTCTCCAAGTCTAGCTTACATAACAACCCCGACCTGCCCTCCCTCTTTCTTGAATCTATTAGTTCGTTAGCCACTAGAACACTGTCTAGCATTTTTGCCTGCCAGGCACAAAAGCAAACTGATTTTTTGAAATTACTGAATCAAGAACTTTCTTAAGTCTTTCAGCTAGGACCTTGGCCAAGATCTTATAGCAACTGTTCAATAAACTAATTGGCCGACTGCCCTTAATATTTGTTGCATCCTCTACCTTGGGTATTGGAGAGATGAAGGTTGCATTCAGATTTCTCTCAAGAGCAGCATTGTGATGAAAGTCCTGAAAAACCTTCATCAAATCACCCTTCACCACCTCCCAGCATTTCTTGTAGAATAAGTTAGTTAAACCATCCAGCCCTGGAGATTTATTTACTTCCATATTTTTAATCACTTGCCACACCGACTCCTCTGAGAAAGGAGCTTCTAGCTCCCTCTGTTGCTCCTTTGAAAGCCTTTTGAAAGCTAGATTGATCGGGATGGGTCTTCTTTTCTAGTTTTCTTTAAACAAATATGATTGAACCTTTTCCTTGCGTTTGCCATATTGTGGAAAAAACTAGAATTTCTGTCTCCCGCTTTGAGCCATTTAAATTTAGCTCTTTGTCTCTATTTCAGCTCATCTTTATAGGCTAGTTTGTCTAACTTCAGTTTAGCTTCTGCCCTCTTTCTTTTATCCACTTCTGACAAAAGACCCCCCCCCCCCCTTCAGCCAAATCCACCTCACTTGGCCTTGACCCCAAACCCTTCTGATTACACCTGCATCTACCGCCTTCAGTTTTGTTTCCTGAAAGAACACTATATCTGACTCCCACCTTCTAAGCAAATTGCAGATCACCAACCTTTTCCTACTTGACCCCAGACCCCTAACATTCCACGAAAGTACTTTCAGATCCATTTGATAACAAAACGGAAAATCCCTAGCCCCTGAACCTTACAGCTTTTTTCCCTCTCCACCCCTAGACGACCCTTCCCCCTTCCCTGCTTTATCATTTAAACTCCAGGCAAGCCATAACATTTCTATGTTTTTCTTCCCTCCCTGATTCCTTTTCTTTCTTTTTGATTTTTCCTTCTCTTCTAACCATCTTTTCTCCATATTTTCCAAATATCTTATTGTTTCTTCCTCCAAGCCTACAATTGAGAACCCCAGGAATTTTCCTAAGCCTACCAGCTTCAAGTTCACCCAAGATGACATTTTGTCCACCCCTTCCCCTTGACTCCCTCTAAACCCTCCTCAGCCCTCCTTGCCCTTAGAACTTCCTTCAATTTCAAACTCGACCCCTTCCCTCTTTTCTCCCCCAATCTCAACACATACCTAGTTCTCGGTGATAGCTGCAAACTGGGATTCTGCCACATCAAAAGTCTCTGGACCTTTTGAAATTGCTAGAGGGGTTACTTCCTCTACTTCCTCATAAGATAATGTGGCAATTTCGATCGCCCACTCCCCACTTCCTCCCTCACCTTGATGAGATGAAGCCTTTGTCTTCGACATGTTTCCCCCTGGGCTGTGTGACATAGGAGAAGCCTCTCCAGATTGAGTGTCTTGCTGATCCTTCCTGCGGTCTTATCAATTGCCCTGCTTCTCGATGGTCTTCCCCATCGGATCTTCGGTTGTCTCTTTTCCTGCTTTTGCAAGGTGCGGGGAGGGAGTCGATAACTAGTTCAAACCCCCAAGGGTCGAGGACTGACCTACCTCCCTACTCTTTTGAACTGGGTTTGGATTTGGATACAACCGGTTCTCAATGTCCTAACTCCTCCGAGTTGGGTCTAGATCTAAGTTCTCCTGCGGTTCGACCCCAATCAGCACAACCCCTCCCTCCTTTTCATTGATCACCCTCAAGCCCAAGATTCCTTGTCCCTTAGATTTACTAGAGACATCAGCTGGCAACACGTCTAGCTCTTGCAAACACTTGAGGATAGTTTCCTTGAGCCACAACTTAGAAAACCCTGACCGGTTCTGACAATCATTTAAAATTTGAAACTCTTTTCCTTTTTTTGCCTCTTCCTAATCTTTAATTCGACAGCTCCTTGTTGATTGATTGGGACCTGTGTCCCTCCACGGGTTTTGAGGCGGCAAAGTGATGCCCATCCTCAGCACGGGATTAGCTTCTTCACACTCCTCCCCCATCATCTCCCCCTTCTCCGGCGAAGCTCCCTCCCCTTGACTTTTCTTTTCATCAACCAGCACTACTGTCCTACTCACCATTGAGTCCTCCCTCCCCAAATCCCTTTCTCCCACCCCTAACCACCTCTTCTCCCTCCACCCCACATGTGGTTTTCTTTCCTGCCAAATCCACACCTAGAAAGAAAGTTCCCCTGCCCATATTTCCACCTTCTTAGGGATCCCCCCCCCCCAGCTTTCACCTTCATCCTAACCCACTCATTCAGCTCATCTGGAGAGTTGTCTATCTCCAGGAAGCCCCCACAAGGATTGCCGATTCCCTCTATCACACTTGGGCACCAGAGGGGATGCGGTAGCCCAAACACCTTGATCCAGATTTCTTTCGGTTTGTCCTCCTTCTCTGGCCAGCGGCTCACTGCCGTCTCATCCCACTTGTCAAGAGCCAATCTGTTTTTCCCCAAACTCCAGGGACCATTTGACAGCATCCAATCCGCCTCTTCCTTGGATGGAAAAATAAACAGGAAGCATTCATCTATTGGCTTCTTCACCCTCACACCCCCTACAGCTCACCAACACTCTGCTGCCCAGGTCCCCATCCCCTCAACTGGAACTTTCCTATCGAAGCATCCCACTACACAGTTTTCAGGAAAATTTCTTGCCCTAACCCCTGCTTCTAAAGTCACAATCACCGTCCTTTCCCTTTCAATCCGACAGGTTGTTTCTCCTAAAATCGGCCAAACCCCTGCTGTCACAGCTTTTTTGAATGAAAAGTTACTTCTCAGTCTAGCATTTGAGCATTTAAAATTGTGCCACGATTCCGCTCCCCACCTTCTTCCTCCTCTCCTCCACATCTCCACTTCAGGGCTCCCCTTAGGTTCCTTTTTCTCCTCACCTTTGCACTCTCCTTTCTCAGGCCACCACCATCTCCCTCAACCTCAGAAAAAGCACTGTCAGTGTCACCCACCTTCGCTATCCCTCTCGGTCATCGTTCACCCAACGGTGGGGAGCCCTGAAGTAGAGTCTTTAAATTAGGGAAATGTGTCTATTTTAAGTGATTTCTATATTGTCGTGAGGAAAAATGACGACATTACGAATGGTTCTATATTTGATGCTTAAGTGATTTCTTTCGTCTGATTCAATTGAAATCCATGTATTAAGTTTGGAATGATTCTATATTTGATTCTGGAGAATAGGTATGATTTTTCTAACCATCTTCTTCTCTTGATTTTCTATCTTTTCTTAATTCTTGTAATGTTTTTAGAGATATTTTATCATCTTATATCGATCCTACATTAGGAAGTTATTAGACTTGGAATGATTCTCAAGTTTTTAATTATCAAGATGCCTGAAATCTAAAGCGTAATTCTTTTAATTGTTATGGTAAGACTTTTAAATTAGCTTGCATACTTGTATTTTCTCTGAGATCTGTTCTCAAAATTTTGTTCCTGATTGGCTTTCCTGAGTTTATCTAGTCAATTTGTTGCAACTTTGATCATTTAATCCTAATTATATTTATAACTGTTTGTAACATATGAGATTGCCTGTTAATACCAATGACATTTTATCTCCATTGTCAAAAGTATGCAATTTGTTTTTCAGAAGATTCCATTGCATCCATGTAAATGGTATATTCTCAGAATAAAACATTGTGGTGTAATATTTGATGGTGACTTTGAGGGTGTTTGGAACCGTGGCGTTTATTAAATAAACGCTGCCACATAGACGCCACTTCAGCATTTCCCCCATTATGTGAATCCGTATACATAGGGACTTGCAAAAGTAGGCGTCAGTTTATGTGTGTGCTTACCATTGGGGGAAGCTTCGTTTTAGCGTCTCCCCGAACGGGTAGGCGTTTATTCACTATTTTGCTGATGTGGTGCCTAATGGCGCCTAAATGTCAATAAATGGGTTCATTATTGCTTTTCTCGGTTGTCCAAACAAATCAAGTACAAAATGTTTAGTAAATAAACATCCATGGCTCCAAACACATACTTTGTCAATGATTATTTAAAAGTTTTGGGTATTCTGCAATTGAAGTTGATATTTTCTGTTGTCATTACAAATTTAGCTTTTGTTTGAACACTTGAGTGTAGTTATCCTCATATATATATATATTTTCATGTTCTCTCTTTCATTTCTTTTTTTCAACCATTTTCTTTTCTCCCCTCTCACCTATCTGAAATGGTTAAATATATTTTTTCTTGATGCAGGTTTCATCTGACATTAGTTATTACAGCAACAGTTTGCTGTTGGATGATGTAAGTTCTTGTTTTCTCTGCACATTGGTTTCATCTGTAATAAAGCAAAACAAAGTAAGGGCTGCAGAAAAGAGAGAAAAGAAGTGGGACAATAGAGCTGAGATCGTGGAGTTCAGTCTATTAGAGTTCCCCCGTCAACCTCTACTCCTTTATATATAATTTAAACTAGCGGGAGCCCGTGCAATGCACGGGATTTGTTAAGGCAAAGTAAAACAATAGAAATTGATAATTATTATAAGGAATGCAATGTTGTTTAAATTTTAAAATAAATAATCTTTATTTTAATAATTTAATAATTTAGATTAATTATATTTATAAATTTTAAGAAAAATAATAAATTACTCCTAAGTAGGATGCATGTTGGCATTCCCAACATTGCTCCCTACTTCACAGGACAATGGCATATGTCCCTTAACATGCATCATATTCTCCCATGTCCAAACATAAGCCCATTTTGCATGTGTTGCTACTAATCAAACTTGCAACTGCTCCATCAGAACTATAAAAGCCTTCTTCTTCTACCTTTTGTTAGATCGAAAAGACCTAAAAGAGCTCGCCTGAACTCCAACCTATCTTCTTCTACCTTTACCTGTTCCTCTCCTATCTGACAGTAGTGTTCGAAGACCACTATTCTCTAGCTTTTCTTCGGTTGAGAATGCCTTGTTTTCACATTTCACCATCAGTGTGCTTCTAGCAGAGGAGAGCAACATGCTACAGGTGAAATGAGCTAGGGAAAGGAACACGTAGGAATGGCAACGGGGCAGGGATCATATTCCTTGTCTTTGACCCCGATTTTGTAATAAATCCCAATCCCCGACCTCGATTCCCATCAGGGATAAAAGTTGTCCTCCATCCCCGATCCCTAGCGGGGATGGGTTCCTTGCGGGGACCCGATCCCGTGGGTCGGCACGACACGATCCACTAAAGCACAGACAGCCCTGCAAGTCGATTTACACCTCTAACATTGGGGAATGAGATATGCGTTCAAGGAATGATATGCAAAGTCAAAGTTAATTATCAAAAAAAAAATGATATGCAAAGTCAGGCCATATTGGGCTTGACCTGTTAAGGAAGAGGGTGCAACTGGATTGGACCATGATCTGATCCGATCCAAATTTGATCTTATTTTTGTCAGATTTGGATAACCCTCAATTGGATGTTCATATTGGATCAGATAATCGGATCCGATTGAAAATCAAATTGCATTCGGATCACACCCTATCCGATCTGAAAGGATCCGATTTGATCCAACCAATATCTATTTACTTATAAAAAGACATGTATATATTAATAATTTATTTATAAATATGTTTATATTGCATTTTTGTAAAAATACATATATATATGTATGTATATATATGATGAAAACACATATATATCTATGTTTTTTCTTTTAATAATTTATTTAAACTTTCTAATTTGAAAAAGATTGGACCAAATTCGAATATCCGACATCCTTAACGGATTCGGATTCAAATAGCCATTTGTGAGATATAACCAAAATTTCGTATCAGATTGGATACGAATATACCCTGATTCGAATCCGATACGGTCAGTTTGCATCCCTCATTGTTTTGTGAAGTAAAGAGCAATGTGGGGAGCTCTTGTGGGTATCACATCTGGATCCATTGAAATGTGTTAGTTTCAAGCATTTTGAAAATACAAAATGTCTTAGTGAAAGAGAAGACGTACTAATGGTCTCTTGGCGCTCATAGAGGTGCTACTTGATTAGATGCTTTAACAGAAGAAAACAATAATAAAAATTGAACAAATACCAATGGCAATTGGTAGAGATGCATTGGATCTTCATTAATGGCGAAGATGCAATGGAAAAAAGTAACAACTTCAAAAGAGACAATCATAAATTAAATCATTAATTAGGAGATGTGCTGATATGGCATCTCATGTTTTATTATTATTATTATTATAAATGTCTTTTTTAAATGTATTAATAACATGCATTAAAATAAGAGGCTTTGGAAAATTCAAATGTCTCTCTCTCTTTCTCTCTATTAGTTTGCAGCTTTATTAATCTAAGCAAAATTGACAATGATTACTTTTTTATATTTTTAAAATAAAAAAACAGGCAAAATGCAAAAAATGGAGAAAATAGATAAATAACTTCTCTCAAAGGAGAGCCATGCTGACATGGACTGTCCAATTTTATTTTATATATATATATTATAGGGATCACAACTTAAAACAAAGAAAATTACTAATGTAACCTTAATTAGTAACATTATAATCTGCATAAAATACCCCTATTTGCAAGCCACAAAAGATAAGCCCTTTCTTTAACACCTATCAAACACCTAGATTGAAATAACAAATTAAAAAGACAATGTTGACCTTTTTCTATTCATAGTCAAATGTTCAGATCTAACTTACTGACTATTAAATTAAAATTTATAACTTTAACAGAGATTACTAGACTCATGGATGACTCAGCAGATGGAGTCCACATGGTTAAACTTTGACTTTGATTGTTGACTGTTTTGATAGTCCTCGATGTCCTGCAACTGAAAGGTAGCTTTCTGAAGGCCATTCACATGTCTGATCTGTTTGATGATACAAAGGTCTCTTTTACAATCATAGACCTCCAATACATCCAAATTCCAGCTCAATCCAATATTGGATTGAGAAAAAAATTGAGTTTCCAATTATTGACCAGATGGCACCATTACAGGTTGAAGGGTCTAGAAGAGCTAGGTGCAAGCCAATTTCCCGTTCAGAGAGGCTCTCACCACCTTTCGACATCCTTGTTTTTCTGCAAATCTGAGATCCTTTTTGTTATAGTTCTCATACCTTGTACCTTTTAACCTTTTCCCTTCACTTTCTTGGCCTTTCAAAAGCTGTTTTTCCTTTTCACTTCTTTATCTCTTGCTACACCATAGCAATCAAATTTGAAACTAAAACCCTTACTTTTAGCCACCTTTCTGTTGCCAGCAATGAGCTTCTTAGAATAGTGGAATAGGGTAGAGGTTTTACTTACCTCGCAAGAGACACCCTGATATGGTTCATGAACTTTCTTGACTCTGCTAGAACACGTGAAAACAACCTGAAGTAGGGAAAGTTTAGAAAGAATTGTCAATCCTATTTTGTGGAAATTATTGAATGCCAGAGGCTCATATATTGTTCTCATTGAGTTCTTTGGTAAGGGTCAAAGTAAGTCCATCCCAATACCATTGGGCTTCATGGTGAAAGATGGAGAGCCTTAAATGGAAAAAATTGAGGAAATGAGGTGGGAGACTGGAAGCCTCAAAGACGTAGGTGGAGGTGAGAAAACTTAAATCCCTAGAAGAACAGAGTTTGAGCCAATCAAATCACAATCTTACAAGGAAAGAATGGTACCCAAACTTGACCAAATGGTGGCCAACGGTTTTACTCCTTGCGCACAGGTGCGGATGAAGATAGGTAGAAAATATGGGAAGAAGCTTTGGTGTGTGAAGTAGAGGGCAAACCAAACTAGAGCATCTTTAAACAAACTCTGGGAGCAATTTTAGATTATCCCAACTGCTAACTGTCTTGATGTTCGACAAGAATAGAGCTGTTTTATTTGAAGGTAAACAAAAAATTTTATTAAAAAAGCAAAAAGAAGTACAAGGAAGGTGATAAGAAATCACCCAAGATAAGAATTAAAAGACAAAATTCCAAAAGATAGATCCTTCAACCAACACCACACCCTCCAAGCATCTCATACACTCAATGAAACAAAATTCAGCAACTTCAAACAAAATTCTCCCCACTATCAAAGTTGTCCACCACCTAACCATACAAAAAATAAACTCCACCCATTTGAAAGCAGCTCACCTTCAACCCCCAAGCAAATAGGAATCCTGATCACTACTCTTACCTGCCCCACTCACTAGAACCAAACACACTTTGCTCTGATTACTTCACAATTTCAGCTTCTTGGATGAAGACCTTATTACTTCTTTTACTTGCTTTCTTCAAAATTTCCACCTTTTTGTTAGGACCTACCCCAACCTAGAAAAAACCTTCACAACCTGAATACTATGATGATTCTTCTCACTACTGAAATGGTTGATGACATTAGGAACCTTCTCATCATCCTTCAAACAAAAAGTGCAATCATTTCCTCTTTCTACTTCCAACGCTACAGTTTGCTCCACAGCCTGCATCATACATCATTCCCTCTCTGTTTGTTTTTGAAAGGTAAAAAGAAAATTCATTAAAAGTGTTAATATGTGCCGAATAGGGGTAGTTTAGTCTTCTTCTATTTATTAAGTAACTTGCTTATGTGGCAGTGTTATTAGAGTTACTCTGCCCCACACTTAAGTAAGGGCATTTCTGTCTTTGTAAACATTATTAGAATCTAATGTAGATTAAGGGGGTCGACTGGATGGGTTAACCATCAGATTTTCGACAGACCCTTCTTCTTCTCTTCTTCTTCTTCTTCTTCTTCTTCTTCTTCTTCTTCTTCTTCTGAAGAAGGAAAATCGGAGACATGCTTCACAAGACTTTAGCTGGAGGTCTGACAAATCTTATGTTTTAGCAGTTACTAACGGCGGTAAAGGTTCTGAATTAAGCACACCTGGTCGCAGGACAGATGGTGAAAACGGGCAAATAAAACTTCTTGAATCAAAGGAAAAAGTGAGTAGGGGAGTTGAAAAGTCGGACATCATCAATAGGGCCCAGTCTTTCCCCAATCTTGTCCAGGTGAATAGGAGTGGGCCTTTTCAAAGAGGTGGGCCTAAGAAAATTGGGCAAACTTATAGAAGAGTGGAGAAAACATGTAGTGGGCCGCCCATTGTGGGCTTGTCTAAGGTGGGACAGGGGGAGTCTCATATTAAAATGAGATTTGGGCCGAAATTAAAAAGCCCATCTAAGGGACCCAATGCACCTTTAAGTTGGGACGTGAGGGGGAGAGTGGCGTTGATAGATGGTAACAACATCTATCATCTTCGTTGAGCTCCACAGGCCGAAACCAACGGTCTTCGAATCTCCCTATACCTGGGAACTCACTACGATGGGTCACGCCGGAGAAGATGAACACGGTGTCGTCGGAAAAAAGAAACCCTAGGTGTATCGGACAAAGGGATTTAGAGAGGCTGGAGTTGTTTTCTCATTCTAAAGAGGAAGATTTTAGTGCCATTGATTCAGACGACACACTAAGTTTAGGGAGTATCGACCTAAGCAGCTCAAGAAATGTGTTTGATGAAGACAGTCTGGGAACAGAGGTATTTTTTCAAGAGAACAAGGAAGAAGATGAGGCACCAAAGTTTAAGGCTACGGTTCAGGTGCCGCTTGTACCTGCAAAGGAAGTCAGTCCATTAGTGCAGGAAGAGCAGGATATGATGCTGGTAGGAAACTCTTCTTATGCTCCAACCTGCAACGTAACACTAGAAGAAGGACAAAAATGGAAGTCTTTCACCTATTAAAGCAGACAGGGTTTTGATTCACGGTGTAAACTCTCTCACGCAAGCTCAGTCACAGGGAACATCTTTAGGCCCATCTCCTTACGAGAATCCCTCTCCCTTGGAAGTCGTCCCCTCAGTCCCAAACATTACAGGTACTGTTGTCCATTCGGTTTTGGTTACTAATGTGCCTTCTGTGCTTGAAACAGATACACCAGCATCCCGAGCCGAAGTTCCAGTGGGGGGGATGAGAAGAGAGACTGGCAGCTCTGAGTGCGAACTGAGAGAAGGTGAGATGGCAGTGGAAGAGGGACAGAAGGAGGAACTAGAGAGAATTTGGGAGAGAATCTACGTGTTGGAGGAGTATAAAGAGAGGGAGGAGAAATTAGATCAAAGGGAGAGAGTAACAACTTTTCAAGAAAAGGACTATTACAGGAGCTCTAATCTGGGGGGGGGATAAATAATGAAGCTAGTGCCTTAATGAGGAAGACTAAGGGAGATTGATTTCAGATATCGAGGGTGATATTGAATTTAGTGGGAGAGGGGAAAGAAGAAAGACTTTGCTGTAAGGTGGAGTCTTTGAGAAGGGGTTTTTTCGATAAAGTGCTTGATGAAGATCATTAGCTGGAATTTGAGAGGCTTGGGAAGTGAAAGAAAGAGAAGGGCATTTAAAGATTTGTTGAGGAGAGAGAAACCGGACATAGTCTTGATGCAGGAAACCAAGCTGGTAGAATTTGATAGAAGATGGATCAGAAGTGTATGGAGATCAAGAGGAGTTTGTTGGACTTCGGTGCCGTCCTATGGAGCCTCTGGAGGTCTAGTAACCTTATGGAGGGAGGATGCTGTAGAATCAGTGGAGGAGCTAATAGGAAGATTTTCTGTGTCCTTAAAGGTTAGGAATGTGGGGGATGGCTTCACTGGGTCTTAACCAATGTCTATGGGCCAAACTCGTATAGAGAGAGGAATGAGATGTTGGAAGAGTTGTATGCCATACGAGGTCTGTGGGAGGGTCCTTGGTGTCTTGGGGGGGACTTTAATGTAATTAGGTTTTGTACCGAATCTAATAACCCCCAAAGGACAATTACAACCAGCATGAGGAAGTTCAATGATTTCATTAATAACTTGGTCTAAAGGAGATATCCCTCTTACAAACCAATTTTACATGGTTGAATTTCCAAGAAAACCCCCTTTGCTCGAAATTAGACAGGTTCCTCCTTACTGAAGAGTGGGAGAACCATTGGACGAACTTGATGGCTAGAGCTTTACCCAGAATCACCTCTGATCACTGCTCTATCCAGCTAAGTCCTGAAACCTTAACTTCTGGTCCTCAGCCTTTTAGATTTGAGAATATGTGGTTAACTCWTCYGGATTTTGTGCACTTGATTGGGGAATGGTGGAGAGAAGAATTAAGAGGAGTGAATTGGAAGGGAGTAAGATTTCACAAAAAATTGAAAAGGTTGAGATCCAAAATTAAGGAGTGGAATAGGGAACACTTTGGAAGGATAGAGGAGCAAAAAATTGACTTGATGTACAGGATTGAGGAAATTGATTCCAAGGAAGCTCAAAGGATGATGAGTGAGCAAGAATGGGTTTTGAGAGGAAATCTACAGGACTTGGAAGAGGTCCTTTTGAGAGAGGAAATCTCGTGGAGGCAAAAGTCGCAACATAAATGGATTAAGGAAGGCGATGGAAATACTAAATTTTTCCATGCATTGGCTAATGGGAGGAGAACAAATTTTGTGGCTAAGTTAGAGGTGAATGGGGAGGAACTCACAAATCAAGATGAGATAGCCAGATGTTTTGTGGATCATTTCAAATCAATCTATAGGAAACCGTTGAATAATAGGCCAACCTTGGAAGACTTGGAGTGGACTAGATTGTTTGAAGAACAAGCAAAATGGTTAGAAAGGGATTTTAGTGAAGAAGAGATAAGACAGGCGGTGTTTTCAATGGATAGATCCAAAGCACCTGGTCTAGATGGCTTTACAATGGCTTTCTATCAGGATTGTTGGGATGTGGTCAAAGAAGACCTTGTTGGGGTGTTTCAGGATTTTGTAGATAAAAAAACGGTGAGCCCTGGAGTCAATGCTACTTTCCTAGCCCTAATCCCAAAGAAGGCAGATGCAAAGAACCCTAAGGACTATAGGCCAATCAGTCTAGTGACAAGCATCTATAAAATCCTGGATAAAGTGTTGTCATTGAGAATTCGAGTAGTACTACCCTCCATCATCAGTCAAGAACAAGGTGCTTTCGTGCAGGGAAGGAAAATAACAGATCAGATCCTAATAGCAAATGAATGCGTGGAGGACATGAGAAAGTCAGGAACCCAAGGTTTTGTTTGTAAACTAGATTTGGAGAAGGCTTATGATCTTGTGGATTGGAGTTTTTTACTAGAGGTCCTAGGGTGCTGTGGGTTTGGAGCTAGATGGTGCAATTGGGTAAAGGGCTGCATTAGTTCCTGCCATTACTCTGTTTTGGTTAATGGGGTGGTGAAAGACTTTTTCCCAGCTTGTAGAGG